ACCCACGGTAACTTTTATGTTAATAACACGGTAACTCACACATTGCAGACCTGATAACTTATGTACCCCCGGTCTTGGTAACTTTGGTGACCGGGAGCGGGGGGTGATGAAATATCCCCTGTTAACTTTTGTGCGAATAACATGGTAACTCAAATTTCATAGACCTGATAACTTATGTACCCCGGTCGTAAAAACTTTGTCGGCGAGGGTGGGGGTGGGGGAGTTGTTGAAACATATCACGGTAACTTCTGTGCAAATAACATGATAACTCAAACATGGCAGACCTGATAACTTATGTACCCCGGTCCTGATAAACCTGGTCGGCGAGGGTGGGGGTGGAGCAAGTCGCTGAAACATGCCACGGTAACTTCTGTGCAAATAACATGATAACTCATACATGGTAGACCTGATAACTTTGTCGGAGGGGTCGGGGTGGGGGTGTCGTTGAAACGTACGACGATAACTTCTATGCAAATAACATGATAACTCACACATCGTAAACATGATAAATTATGTACCAGTCCTGGTAACTTTGTCGGAGGGGTCGGAGTGGGGGAGTCGTTGAAACATAACACGATAACTTCTATGCAAATAATATGATAACTCACACATCATAGACATTAAATTATGTACCCAGTCCTGGTAACTTTGTCGGTGGGTTGGGGTTGGGGGGGAGTCATTGAAACATACCACGGCAACTTCTATGCAAATAACATGATAAGTCACACATCGTAGAAATGATAAATTATGTACCCAATCTTGATAACTTTATCAACGGGGGTAGGGTGGGAGGAGTTGTTGAATCATACAACGATAACTCTTATGCAAATAACATGATAACTCACACATCGCGGACTTGATAATTTATGTACCCGGCCCTGGTAAATGTGGCGACTGTGGCGAGGGGTGGGGAGGGGGGGCAACCTCGGTAATTTATATGTAAATAGCTTGTTAATAGACACATACTAAGCTGATAACTCACATACAAACGCCATTATAATTTTTGACCTGAATTTTTTTGTTGAAAGATATACACCCGGTAATTTCTATGTGAAAAGCATGATAATGTATACATCACAGATTTGATAACTAATATCTTACGTTTTAAACACCATGGTATCTTTCATCCAGGGGAAAAAAAGTTTTTTTAAACATTTTCATCGGTAATTTATGTGTTAAATTACCATACTTCCTCATGCCTTAACCTTCTTGTACTGTAGTTATCAGCCTTATCATGGTATAATTATCATGTTGCTCATGCCATAGTTATCACACTGGTCATGCCAAAGTTACCAAGCCAACTTTATTTTTTTCTGATATGGCAGAAATAAGAAAGGTTCAAATAATATTGTTTATCCACAATAGACAACAACAAAAGGTGGCTTAGTTGGTTATTAGGCTCAATAGGTATCGCATAGACCTAGGTTTGAATCCTCTTTCAAGCACTTTTATTTTATTTTCATATTATGCGGTGAAAAACCAGAAAAAACCACTAGCGATTTACCACGGTTTTTGAGAGAAGGAAAAAAATCAGTGAAAAGCGAGCGTGGGAAGTCAGCGATCACGTAGGAACTAGTCGTGCGGATCTGTCGCTAACGACCAGTCGACTGGTCGTTAGCACAGTCCTTTTCAAAAAGAAAAATCGTTGTTTTCACTCTTTGCCAGCTTATATATAAGCTAAAAAAACCCTAAAAAGCTAAAAAAATCATGAACCATTTTCTTCGTCCAGGTGCCGCGCACAATGCGAGTTAAGAAATTCCCTCTCCCTAGGGTTCCAGTTCCTCTCGGCGACGACCAGCGCCACCGTAGGGATCTCATCCCCTCACTCCGGTTTTCCCCTTGCAGATCACGCTCAAACTGCCCGGTCTTGTCTGGTTTCTGGTATGAGGTGGAGTGCTTAGGGGTCTGGTAGATTAAATCTTTCGGGCTAGGGAACATCATGGATGGAAAGGCTTCGAGCTCGGATGAGATGCGAGCGATGTTGAGGCCATGATGCAGAGGTTGGATTTGACGGAATACGATCTTGATGATGTCATCTTCAAATAAAAAGAAGCACTGCCAGCGGAAGTGTCTCGTTGGATGGCCATAGCTAACATTTACATGGAGAAACCCTACAGTCAATTCTAGTTCTTCAAGATCATGTGAGTCACATGAGTTCTTGCTTAAGAGGTGCAAATAAGGCCTTTCCATAACAATCTGTATACCATGCAATTCTCCTTAGGTCATTGGGAAAGGGAAAAAGCTTCAATCCACACATAATACTCGACCGCCTAGGCCATGCCTTGAGTGGTTAAGCATTGCCTAGGCACTAAGCAATAGCCAACCGCCTCGCCTATGCCTATCTTTTTTCCAACCTTAATGTTCCGCTAGATCAAACTCAGTTGCCGACGGCGATTGGACATGTGCTATGGTAGTTGTCAGCGCCGTCAAGACATGTGTCATGTTACCCCACTCGGGTAGCTTGGATGGGAACTACCCGAACAACTTCGACTCCCACATCGCCAACATCCAACCCATAAATCAAACAATCAAAATCAGGAATGCAAACACCAGGAAACAACAGAGATATCGAAGAGAAAGACTCAAACGGCAGCGGGAAGAGGTCTGTCTCAGCTCGCATGGAACTCTCAGCAGTTCGGACCACCTCTGAGCAAACTATTTGGCACATGTGTGATGGCCCTATAGGCTGCTCTGGATTAGGGCAGCCAACAGTGGAGGGGGCATGCGCCATGGTGACCGATTGCAGTAGAACATAATCTAACCGGCGGTGGTGGGGTAAAAATGTCGTATCGAGAAGAAGAGGCGAATACAAATATGCACTTAGTCACTGAACTACGAAATAAATCAGGGCGTCCTTTGCATAATTTTCAATGTGAACTGAGCATGCTCAATCTTATGCCTCCAGCCCACATAGTACGGGATCAGGGGATCATACCACAGACCAATCACCATATATGCACTTCGTATTGTAAACCTCCTAACAATGACTCTGATGTGATTGATGTTTAATGGCTCCCAAGTTCCCACTCATACAAAAATAAGGCAGAATTACATAGAAGCGGACAGTTTACCAGCTATACATCGACGCCTCGACGGTCAATAAAATCAGTACTAGGATAGGTATTGATTTTCGCACGACCATTTGGATGCAGTTGATTGGATCATGTTATGGTAATACCGTTAGTGGATTTTTATTTTTTTTAAAGGCGATCTCTTTTCAAATTACAACAACATTTTCTTGAAAAGCACAAACACTTTTCTAAAGCTCCGCAAACACTTTTCTAAAGCTTCGCAAATTACACTTATTAAAATTGTAAAATGGCTGGAGCCTTTTTAAATTAGAGGATTATTTGACATGCGTGAACAATTTAAAGTGACTCAGTATTTTTTACGAATACATGAACATAATTCCAAAAGTGAACTAACAATTCTTAAAATTACATGAATATTTACCTTGCAAAAAAATAATATACTAATATTTTTTTTTGAAATGTGTGGACAATTTATTGACTTACATGGACATTTAAAGACACATAAACACTATATCAACAAATGTTTTTGTTGCACATAACCAACAAACAGGATATCAACTATATTTTCTGTTGTACGATTGAAACTGTAAACTCAAGTGGCCCAACTCGCTGCAAGAACCACCACATCAGTATTCAGTGCTGTCAACGAACAAGGGAGCAACCATTACAGAGCCTCATTGTTCAAACAGTTTCTGAATTTGAGAACCGTAATGCCAACACCAACATGTTCTGTCAGGGGAACAGAACCGACCAAGTTTAGCTAGCACAAACACTACAACTGCTAGGTTTTCCTGAACCCATGCCTTACAAGTTAGAACTGAGGCGGCGATACTCTGAAGAGGTGGACAGGAAGGCGGCTTCTACGGGTCTCTCTCTACCATGCATCGACATCCGCGTACCGCAGTGCCGCGTGGCCTGGATTGGCAGAAAAATAGTTAAGCAGTTAGGCATCATGTGTCACGGGTACTGCAACAAGTTCAAATAAGAAAATCTCAACACAATGTAATGTGCTCTGCGATACAACCTGAATTTTGTCCACACGTTAAACGATACAAATCACACTAGCTAGGCTAAGAAATACCCCCTCCGTCCCAGAATATAAGAACGTTTTTCAATCTATGTTAACTTGAAAAACGATCTTATATTGTGGGACAGAGGGGGTAGACATCATTGTCTTCTCTGTGAAGTTGAAACTAGCAGACTGAACTGATTTGGGTTTTCAAGTTCCAAAGTCTTCCACTAGCACAGTAGCATCTAATTGCAAAACTAAATCATCTGAATCAAAGCACAGTAGCATCAAAAACCAACTGTTTCCAGGTTCAGTACTTACGAAAAATGACTTGGGTTCAGACTGAACTGATACTGATTTGAGCTTTCCACTAGCATCGGTCCATAAATCCAACAGACATAATGCCGTCCCTGTTGACCCACCTACTGATTCGATTCAACAACTTTTACTGATTTCTATAACCCTACTACAGCAGTTCAGACTATGTCCAAGTCATATATAGGTCCTAACTGAAACAGATTATCCAAAGTTTCAGACGACACCAGTTTCAGTAAACTGTTTTTCAGACTATTGCAAATATCCGGAAAAGTTCCAGACGAGTGCAAGTATGAGTTTCTTGCCAAAGGAAAAGAGTAGGAAGTTGAGGGCCTCTCACCAGGCGTCCCCGCGACGTCGACGACGACGATGAGGGCCTCCTGGTTGCGGGGCAGGTCGACGACGAGTGGGAAAAAACGGCCATAACGTGTGGGGAGGCACATGGCGAGCTGAGAGACGTCCACCAGCCGCCGCCGGGCCAGCTCGTGCCTCAGCCGGAACACGGACCTCCCCATGAAGCAGAACACGTCGTGGTTGACGAGGGCCCCCTCGACGTTCGGCCACACGTACGTGATTTCCCGCAACAGCAACTCGTCGTGCAGCTGAGTCGCAAAGAACCATCGATCAGGAGATCAAATACGAATCTGAGCCAAGAATTTCTCCCAACAGAATGAAATTAACACGATTTGCAATCTTTGCGGTCAAATTCCGATGCATCCAAGAACCCAATTCGCGCAAATTCGGGAAGAATCAAGAAGCGGGCATGGCGGACTCACCCCAATCGGACGTGGAAGTGGAAGGCGAGGCATGCTCCGCGCGGCGGGGATGGGCTCCACAACCCAGCGCGTCGTCGGGCTGGGGTTGTCGGGGTCGTCGACGCTGACGCTGACGCCGGTGTTCCAGTTGGCGCGGAGGCAGCCGCCGTGGAAGTGGTCGAGGTAGACTTCGTCTCCGGATTCCGTCCGGATGGCCCGCCAAGGGATTAGATCCACCTCCGGATGGTCGCAGCCCCGCTGCTCGACGCGGTGCCTGTGGTGGCCCTGCGGCGCCTGCACGTTCGTGGCGGCGAGGTACCGGCCGTAGGCGGCGCTGTGGAGGAGTAGGTACGGCAGACACGCCTCGGGGTGCTGGTACACGTGCACCACCCAAGCCGCGTTCATCGACGCCCAGCAGGTACGTGCCGTGCACGCGGCTCCGCACCCGCACGTAGTGGCCGTCCTGGAGATGCTCCATCGGTCGTGGTGATGCACATCCTGCCATTGAGACGTGGTGATGATGGCCTAACGATTTATGTTCGACGGATTACAGCAGTGGCTACTTGTCCTATTGACATTGTGGTGCCAAGTTTGATATGATGGTTGGTGATCATGTTTCATCATTTAGTGTTCTTGGTTTTCTTCTCCATGGGCTCGATGACAAAGAAGCCTTTTGATGACCTACCTTGCAAAGAGAGGTTCCCGGCATCTAGGTTTTCACCTTTTTTGGGTGGATGGCCAATGCAAACCCTTCGAAACATTCAAAGTCAATCAAACATGCAAATGTTTGATCTTTTACTCTATCAAACCCATAGAGTAATGTGAAGGCACAAATTGAGAGAAGGGAGTACCAGATCATGTCATCTTAGAATGCTTACATGTGTGTTCATGTATTTCCAGTTAAGTATATAAAAAAGTATAATAAAGTGGATCGGATCGTTCTCCCTAAACTCCACGACGCCAAAGATTTCATTTGCCACACGCTCGAAGAGTTTCCCCCCAAGTCAGCTTCCTTTGACGATTATTCTGTGTTGTCTGCGATATAGGCTAATAATTAAACCAATATTCTACCAAATAAATCAGGATAAAAGGATCATGCATCCTTTTGTATTCAAAACAAGAATTATTACTAGACATCTCCATATAGTCCAACAGACAACAACAACATCAACATCAACAACCACTGACATTTTCTTATCTTTGCCAAAAATAGGAAAACAAGATCTTAATAGATATTGGACACTAGTCAACACAAATTTGAAACCTAAAGAAAATTACAAAACACCCCATATCTGTTTGGTCACCGAACCCTCAAAGAGAAGATGTTTGATACTTTCATCTTTCCACAAAAAGTACAGTGTTTACCGCCAGTCCACTACACTGGAACATATGAGAGCACTGGAACAAAGTTATCTTTGACAATTACATTAGAGAGATGGATGATGAATCTATGTCTCTTTGTCTTCAAGGAGAGTTTCTCCATGGTCATGAAGAAGGTCAAGTCTAGTCTTCGGGGGCAAATGCAGACTTGGTTAGATCATTTATAATTTGTCCCTCTCCCTTTGTAAATATCCACATGTACATTACTATAAAGAAAATGAAATAGTAGGACC